TTGCCGCCGTCTTATGTGAACTTTTCAATGGATATCAACAATAATAAGCCACTGATTAGTAAAGTGGGAGAAATGGTTAGATTTGTTGTCGATGTCCTATCATTTCCAGACTTAGAATCTGTACAACTATTTTGGTTTAAAAATGATGTTTTGATTGAGAAAAATCACAAACATTTCTTAACTGGTGTTAAAACTGATGGACAATTACCGCAAACTTATCTTGAGATTAAAAACATTGAACTTGAAGACAGTGGCACTTATATGTTGGTCAGTAAACACAACTCTTAAATAATAAAACAAATAATTTATGACTTTATGAAATTTAATTGTTTTTATCTAAAGCTGGGAAACACTAGCGATATGTCGACAAACATATCGATGCACTTATTAGTGAGCGGTTCGCCGGCTATTAAAATGATAAATACGGTTGAATTTTATGAGATAAATAAATTGTATGAATTGGAGTGTTTGGCCATTGGATACCCAAAATCAGAAATCTGGTGGAAATGGTATTCTTGTAAATCACCGGAAAATTGTTCCCCAAATGATAATGAATTTCAATGGATTGATATCAACGACAAAAGGAATTCTAGTTTATTAGAAAACAGCGAACTTTTAATCAAACAAAATATTAGTTCATTGTATTTAAGCCAAACAAGCCTTCAAGTGATTGCCAATCAAAGCGGTGCCTATCGTTGTTTTGCCACTAATGACAACATCACTACAATTCACAGCCAGATCTCGTTTATAGTGACCGGTATTTTATAGTTTTATTTTAAATAGATTTCTTTTAAAATGCAATATTTTGTACATTAGATGCTATAAACGGATTCTCAATCATATCATCGACTGATGAGCCTACAGTACGGGAGGACATAAGCCTCACCTGTAAGGCCAGTGTTTACAACTATACAGAACTCAATTGGATTAGAAAACCATTGGACGGAATAATAGAGTCAGACGATGAGTACAATCTGACGGGTAATTAAAATTGAACAAAATTTATTAAATAACTAATAATTGGTTTGAGAAACAGATCTAATCCATAGTTCTTCAGTTGATGAATATTCCATAACTTTATCAATACAACTAAAATCAGTACAAATAAGTGATTCCGGAGTTTATGTCTGCGAAGCGCTCACTCGTGATAATCAACAAACCAAACATGAGATTGAATTTAAACTCGATATACAAAGTATATAATCTCTGATATTTTAATATTAAAATTAGTATAAATTATTAAATAAATACTTTCTTATAGACATATCAGCGCCGGTTATGATTGAGTCTAATATGAAAGACAATGTGATAGAGAAGACTCCATACACTCAATTGGAGTTGCGATGTATGGTTAGGGGAAGACCTAAACCAGTGATCACTTGG